GGCTATGGCAAAGCATACATGGAGCCTACGTACAAAATACGTACGTTGTAGCTAAGTCTTATCTGACAACAAAAGTTATAAAAAAATCGTTTTTTTTTTCATTTTTTTCTTAACATACCTAATGGGGTATTATATATTATAATATTCGTATTCTTAAATCACTATCACTTTCACTGTTAATACAGCCCATCTATACTAGTCCGTCGCTGAACATAGGCCTTCCTCATAGAGTGCCACAAAAACGATTCTGAGTCAACTGCATCCATCAACTGTGTCATAATCTGTGTGTTTTATCAGGTCTTCACCCGCTCATGTGCTTTTCCAGGCATGGGGGTGAAACACCGCATTCCTGACTTCGGGTTACTATTGAATTTTCTTTCCAGAAAACCCTGTTAAATGATTTTTGCCTTTGCATTGAATTATGAAAGTAAATGGATAGAGTGCACCTGTACGCTCGGGCACTTAATCAATATTTGGTCTGAAGAACATTTTAACAAAGAGTAAAAAGTTTGTCTTTATCTATATATAAGGTGTACTCTATTTAGAAATATTGTACTTTATTTATAATTCAAAAAATAATATAAGAGTCTAAAAATACTTAAGCAACATGCCTTGGTCATAAGCTGCGTTGATCCTGATAATTATTTTATTTTATCCCGGTGATCCTCATCAGGATATTAGGATAAAGTTAATGTCTCCTGATTCAGACTGATGTTCATTAAGAATACACATAATTATATCACATACACAGAATTTTTTTTCCTTTACGAACCCAATATCATCGCAACTTAACATTTTAGTTAAAAACTCAGGTATTGAGTTTATGAATTCAAGAAACAGTAGTTACTAGCTAGGGAGTGGCAAATAATGACGATTGACAAACTTACGATGTTTTGCGGGAATAACATATAATATTTTTCATATTGTTATTAGAATATTGTATTAGAATGTTTGTGTGTGTGTGTGTATGAATTTTTCATGTTGGAGGAAGTGCCGCGCTTGTTTTACTATATTCTTTTTTTTAACATTTTTCTTATTGGTTAGGCGTTTTGATGGGGAATCAGTTGATAAATCGAGGCACCGGTGAATACACCAACTGAAAGCAAGAACTTACTTAACAGATTGGGGAACTCATTTGGAAAATTCGGGAACGTAAAAGCCCCCACGAAAACTATCTTCTAAGTCTAACTATCTTTTAAATTACATTTTGTATGGAAGTGGAACAGTTTGATCTACATTGATTGCATAACGCAATTACCATTAACATGTTTTAGACTAATTGGACAACGATTAGTAATAAGAATAACATTGGCCAAAATAGCTACACAAATAACATTGTTTTGATTAATTTTTGAAAGATAGATATCGTAACTTTATTCAACCCTGGTAACCAACTGTAGTCATATTTATTTTACAAATTTTACTATTTGTTATTTAAAGACGATGGTTCATAGCGTAATAAACAAATTAACATTCAACAGTAGTCAAGGAATTAACACATTCTAAAAATATGGACCCAAACGAGTAACATTGACAATATATTTTAGTTTAGTGCCACTCAAGAAAATTTAAAAAAATCTGAACCCTGTAATAGGTGGCGCTGTGCTCAAGTTAGTAATAATTTTATATTAATATTGTTAAAGGTCTGGAGTAATTCGGGGTGAAACTCATGGCGTCACGTTACGGAAAAGGCAGAAAAACGTTTGCTAGTTCAGCTTGTCTTTAAATATAAAAATGTATTATATACATAAACATTTCGGAAGAAATTTTCAAAAGTATGGTATAAACCGCATAAAAATTTGTAACGTAGCGTAAAGGAAATAAGCACACAAACAGATAGAAATAACAACTTTTTTTAATACTAATTAGAGAAGAGAGATATAGGGATTATCACTGAGCCAATAACATTTTAACAGGAAATGAGCGACGTAAAAGCGTCATTAAAGAGTACATTAAACAACGGATAACTTGTTCGCTTATCTGCATTTCTCAGAGATACCCACATTAATTACAGAGTATAAGTAATTGATCCATTTCATTGAACCATGTAGTGGCGGTTTAAGAATATCCTCTACCTCATATTGTTCCGTGGGTGGCGTAAAAAGCGACAGAAAGAAACTGAAATAGGAGATAAGCAGCAACATCTTCCTGATGACAACTCAAAATTATAAAAAACTGCGATTACCAACCCGCCTATTAAGCGTGGCAATGTTTTAATCAAATAGATTTAAAAATGTATATGTATAAATGTATACTATAGAGCGGACATTGGGAATATTTACATACAAAAACTGTGAGCTCGCGCGTGTGTTACGCCCTCTAGTGAAACATAGCAATACTACGCTGAACATTTATTTGGAAAACATTTTACCTATTCCCCATTAGGTGACGCTACAAAATATAGGGTAAAAATCCGTTTTAGGCATGTCGTTAATCACTAACGGCGTCGATAAAATACAATATTTTTTTCTTTCTTCCAGAACGAGCTACTAGAAATAATAAAATTTAAAGTTTATTTGATAAATAATACATTATTATTACTATATTAAAGCGAAATCACGTTCATTTTTTACTCCATATCGCGACTTACAATACCTTAATTCACAACCTGGCATATTTTCTTTAAAAATATTTTTAAAATTTATGAAGTTAGTCTTGACCTTCTGACGATGTCACTTAAACTTAATGACAAAAATCGGAGATGTATCCTAAAGGTGGTATAATAAGTCTGTGCCTATAGGACAAAAGTTACAAACGACCATTTTGTTGCTGATATCCGGTCTATTACATTTTGTTGATGTCTATGAGCCACAGCAACCACTTACCATCAGGTGGACTGTGTGCTCGTTTGTTACCCCATCTCATTAAAAAAAAACATTTAGGAAGTTAAAGTTAGTTTAAGTTACAGCCTATATATACGTCCCACTACAGGGCACAGGCTTCCTCTCATTTCTGAGAGGAATTTAGGGCAAGGAAGCGTCCGCCGCGCTGCCCCAATGCGTATTGTCAATCTTCAAATGTCTTCGAAATTTTTTTTGCAGGTTTTCTTACAATGTTTTCCTTCACCACCGAGCACGTAGTAAATTAGAACTTAAAATCGCAATTAACAAGTTCATTGGTGCCGTCGAGGATTGAACATGGGTTTCCCGCGTACTGTTAAATTTACAGCGAACGCTAACCATCTGAGTGAAGTAATTCTGTTAAAATTATTTGTAATGCGAACAACTACTTTTTACTTGTAATGATATTTGTAAGGAAAGTGTACGTCTGTTTGTCCAACCTTTTCACCATGCCCACCCACACACATCTGCTGTAGATGGATATTGGTGGTAAAAATGTGTAATGAGATACCTCTATCCTTTTCTAACACATTGTACGACTCACACAAGCTCAAGACTGTGCTGAATGGCGTAAATTACGTTTGTATCTGATAATATCAGAAACTTTTCTACAATATTTCAAATTTTCTTTTACGATATTTTAGAATTTTACAATTTGATACAGAATGTTCTGAACTGTTCTCAAAATTTCACGAATGATCTAATAAGTTTAATTATATGTTCAAACCCTGAAAATGATTTACTAAAAAGTGGTTTCGAAAATTTCTGAAACATTTTAAAAATTATAAAATATATTTAAATGTTCGCAAATTAGTACGGATTAAATAAAGTTCTTCGTGCACAAAAGATGATAAATGTACATAACGCTATCCAAAACTATTTTTAATGAAACAATAACAGGCGAAGACAGGTATCCAAAATATAGACGTAGGTCACGAGAATAAGGTGGATTCACAGCAAAAATTAAGATACAAGAAAATGATGAAATCGAAATCGAAAATCAATGGGTAGTTCCGTACAATCCATTTCTATGTAAAGTGTTCAATGCTCACATCAACGTCAAATCTGCAGTTCTATTAAATCCATCAAATACGTATGCAAGTATATTAACAAAGGCAGTGATATGGCTGTCTTTCTAGTGGCTAAAAAAAACCAGTACTATGAGACGACACAGTACCACTTTACATCAATTCCGATGAAGCATTTCGACGAAATTTGGTTTTCCCAATACACGATCTCGATCCGGCGGTCGTCCATCTATTCACTTAGAAAACGAATAACGCGTCTTCTTCACTAAAGAAACTGCATCAAAAGTTGTGACAGAACCACTAATGAGAACAACTTTGACAGCGTTTTCTAAGCTATGCCCAGAAGATTCATTTGAATAAACTTTAATTTATTCGAAAGTACCATCTTTCTAAGCTTAGCATATATCAAGTAAAAAATTATCTCTCAAAAATGTTTAATGCCAGTGCAAGGACACGATGGAGTGTTTCAGAGTGATATAATAGGGTGAGTCTACACCGTGCATCCCAAAAACGTTGAATGCTTCCTTTTACGTTTGTTACTACACACTATTCGTGCCCGACATGTCAACAAAAACTGTCAACGATTACATTTGTAAAAACATTTGTATAGATATGTTACACATATAATAAGTATATAAATTTTAGCTTTCTGTACTATTCCGCTCACAAGTTTAACTTTACCGGTAAGTTTAACTGGTCTCACACTCTTACGACGTGGAACACACTTCAAAATTGGTACAATATATAGATTCAGATGAAATTTTCTATTTATATGCTGTTTTACTTTCCAAGTTTAGCTAGGTGTAAAAATTATATTATTTTTTCTAACGCAAAACCGTCTAGTCTAAAGCAAAACACTGTCGTCCAGGTACTTTTTATAATATATCACAAGTATGTTTACTACTAATGAGACCATATTTTATAAAGATAAATGTTAAGGATGACATGTTGCAATAAAACAAATTGATTGCATTAAGGACGTTAATTCAGTACGATACGATAATACTTATTATTTTTTTAATTAACAAACAACGTGTATCAATATTAGTGGGGTATATAAAGTAATAGTAATTGGGAGAAATTTCAGTTTTAGCTTTTTTCCACTAAATACCAATACAATACAAGCATCAATATGGTAGTATTCAAAGTAAGTATTTGTTTTAACCATTTATTATAATACCTAGTTAGGTTATAAGTATTATATATAATATGTCGACAGCCATGTAGCCTAACAAACTACGTAACTATTACATCCTGGATTAAAGTCTCAGCTGGAGACAACATTTGTTCGAAAACACAAACACTACATAACGACTATAATGCAAATACAAATGAGAGACTCTAAGGTATAGCGTACACTTGTAGCATTATATTATATCCTAAGCAATTGAGCTCGATAGACTAGGCATGGACTAAACTTTAGTCTTAAGACCAAAATTTTAATGTTTATGTTCGTTTTAATTTTAATGTACGAGATTTTAAAAGACTTGTGTAAGATCTCCGTCAACATAAATAGGTTTTTAAATTTAATTTACAATTTTCTCAGTAAAGAGACATTGAATTTTTTGGTGTAAATATACATAATTTTGCGATTATTATACTATCGCAAATTTATTTTGATTATTTTATTTGAGTTTTAGCGAGACTAAAGGATAGCAATTGATTTTTATACACAGAAATTATCATTAAGCGAGAAAAGTAATAAAGAAGTATACGTTATAACACAATGTCAACAACTGAAGTTCACTCTCAATCTCGACTCTCAACAGACTGTAGAAAATAGAAGTTCTGAAACAATTGAGATTATTGTCTTGGTAAGACAAGTTCTCTTTTTCTTCGTTCGTTTTCTTAATTTGATAAAACATGTTTGCACAAGTTTTATCAAATTAAGAAATTTCCCGCGCAAAAACGGCAGCTACAGCACCAATGGCATCGTACAGCACGCGCGACTCTTCCGGCATGCCATACTTACTGCCTGCGACGAAACAATGACTTGGGTCGTCAATTCGCACGCACTATCTTTAAATTTTTGATATCGATATTGACTGATAAATAAACAGCGATCCCAATATAATGGTCAGCCAATTATTTCAGCCGATATATCATTATCACATCGGTGGGGTTACATACCTAATTAGGTATTATATTGTATTTTAATTTTTTTAACCTTTATTTCTAACATTTCTTTTTATGATTATATTAAAACAATAGCCAATGTTTATAGTAAAACAATAATTTTTTTATACAGAACAAAATTGCATATTTAATCTAATTTCTTTGCTTGATACAACTTGTTGAAAGAGGACGTGTGCAATGAAGCGCGAAAGACGAAAAGAAAGAAAGATAAATAAATAGCAATCCCATTACATAGGTTAGCTGATTATTTCGGCCAAAATATCTTTATCGGATCGGTGGGGTTAGATTCCTAATTATTATATTCTTATTTTATTTTTTGACCTATATTTCTCAGAATATATTTTTATGATTATATCGTGCATTTATATTAAAACAAAATCTTTTCTTTTCCAGAATAAAACTGCACATTTAATCTTATTTCTTTGCTTGATACAACTCGTGGAAATCAGGGTAGGATGTGAGCTACGAAGTGCAAGAGACGTTGAAGATTCGGATACAAATCTTGCGGCTACTAGTGTGGAAGCGGGTGATAACTCTGAAGTTAACAACATCGGACAAATCATCGAAGATAAAACAGAGGACACTTCAATCAAAATATAATAATATCTTGCCTACAATGCACTTAATGCACGAACCCTCAGAACCTCAACCACCATCAGTTTACGCGCACTGTTATTTAAAATATCACGGAAAAATAATAATATATAAGAAATTATTTCTACAGTCAAAATGTTTTAAATAGTTCTGTATAATAAAAAACGTCATCGCGTAACCTATTTTTATTGAAATATTTTTAAATTATATGATATTAGAACTGGTTTACATTGAAACTGTTTTTAAAAAGAATCTAGCTGTAGATGCCCATACCCGTTTTAGGAATGAGCGTAAGAATGGATAAATAGCTATTTGGAATGAACAGATAACTAAAAATATTTAAAAAATTATAAGCCGGTGCTTGGTATTATTCTTTTTTTTGACTTTACTGTTCTGTCTAGTATATAAGGAAATCCATAAAATTGAGCGTCATATGCAAAGACACGGACCAAGCCAGTCGTTTGCGCACGTATGATTGTCGATAAATGCGTATGGTGCATGCAGCTCGTAACTTCTCTATTCCATCGCAACTGCATCGCGTTCAGTATTACGTCTCACATAGAATTTCCTACATTACGGCTATGGCAAAGCATACATGGAGCCTACGTACAAAATACGTACGTTGTAGCTAAGTCTTATCTGACAACAAAAGTTATAAAAAAATCGTTTTTTTTTTTCATTTTTTTCTTAACATACCTAATGGGGTATTATATATTATAATATTCGTATTCTTAAATCACTATCAATTTCAATGTTAACACAGCCCATCTATACTAGTCCGTCGCTGAACATAGGCCTTCCTAATAGAGTGCCACAAAAACGATTCTGAGTCAACTGCATCCATCAACTGTGTCATAATCTGTGTGTTTTATCAGGTCTTCACCCGCTCACGTGCTTTTCCAGGCATGGGGGTGAAACACCGCATTCCTGACTTCGGGTTACTATTGAATTTTCTTTCCAGAAAACCCTGTTAAATGATTTTTGCCTTTGCATTGAATTATGAAAGTAAATGGATAGAGTGCACCTGTACGCTCGGGCACTTAATCAATATTTGGTCTGAAGAACATTTTAACAAAGAGTAAAAAGTTTGTCTTTATCTATATATAAGGTGTACTCTATTTAGAAATATTGTACTTTATTTATAATTCAAAAAATAATATAAGAGTCTAAAAAAACTTAAGCAACACGCCTTGGTCATGAGCTGCGTTGATCCTGATAATTATTTTATTTTATCCCGGTGATCCTCATCAGGATATTAGGATAAAGTTAATGTCTCCTGATTCAGACTGATGTTCATTAAGAATACACATAATTATATCACATACACAGAATTTTTTTTCCTTTACGAACCCAATATCATCGCAACTTAACATTTTAGTTAAAAACTCAGGTATTGAGTTTATGAATTCAAGAAACAGTAGTTACTAGCTAGGGAGTGGCAAATAATGACGATTGACAAACTTACGATGTTTTGCGGGAATAACATATAATATTTTTCATATTCATGGATTCGTTTTACTTTTAAAATTTTGAACTTCTCGCTATAAAAATCAATGATTGTCAAAAAATTGGGAAGTTATTGTTTTCACCCCAGTTTTCGAAAATCGAGTTCTCATTTTGTTTGTCATCATCATCTCATTAGATTTCATGTGAATGAAGAAGTCCTCTTAAATAGATAATTACAGGGATCGGCATTACTACCCTTGTTGGATGCTGGTTGCACATTGGCAAGATTCCAAGATTTTTGCACCGTCGAGTTTAAAAAGAGAGGCAGTACAGGCGCATCAAAACAGGAGACAACTCAGGTGCACAAAGCTTTATTACCCTTGCAGGAATACCATTAGATCCACTGGCCACCTTCCCACGTCTAGGTTTTGCAAAGCTATACGTACCTCTTTCGTGTGGATTGTGACCTTCGACATCGAAGAATTGCAGCGGGGTAGAATTGGCGGCTGTTTGGAGTCAGTGGCATCTAGACGAGAATTGCTCGCAAATAGGGATATCTTAATACATAACGTGTAGTAATATTTCTACCAAACTTTCTAAAGTGGAAGTTTTGGACATTTACGTAGTAATTATTTTTAAATCTATGATTTATGATACAAACAACTACTTAAATATTTAATATTATTCAAAACATTTACCATTCTAAGTTTATGAGCCGTTCATCTCCGATTTTGAAAATAAAACGCACCGCGTACGCGTTTTATTTAATGCAAAGGTCTAATTGTTTACGACTTGCTTCGCATAAGCTCTGGTCATCTCACCACTACAATGAGCACAGGCAAAGCTTACGAGTTATGAATACCATTTGCATGCATTTCGTCAAAGATAAGTGTAGATTTCTATGGGTACTAACGTACACTCTTCAAAGAGGGTAGAATTTTTCTCCTTCACGTATTAATATTGTTACGAGCTTGAGGTTCGTGACAATAAAAATTACCGATAGAATAACCAAAATTAACTCTTTAATTCACTACACTAATTAAAACTTAGAAAACACTAATAATTAATCACACTGATTCACTTTATTTCGCTCCGAAGCTTCGCTTGTCTCGCCAAATTCAATACTTCCTCGATCGCATCTTGCAGCGCCTTTAAACACACATTATCACCGAAACATCCAGAATATTCAAGTAAATACGCGCGCCAATCGTCTAGGCGTCGAAAGTTCGAGTGTCTGGCTTCTAGAAAGCTTAGTTCTTCATTTCGATACTAGGTGGCGCTGTGTTTGAAAGATTAGTGATGTCATTTTCTGGAAAGCTCTCCTCGCTCCGTTACCCGACACAGATGGCGCTAGTGCCAGACGTCAACTTAGGCGCGCAACACTGCCCCTTCTGAGATCGTTCACCTTCCCTTTCTAGGGTTCACTTAGGGCAGCTGGACCGAAGATGGCCCCTTTTCCCACAGCCATAGCACCTAGGGCTGTATCCTTTATTGTGGTCGCGAACCGTAACTGCTGCAACATCCCTAGCGTGAGGGGAACGATGATCCTGCTACCACCAGGTGGTGCCGTTAGCTGCACTACCCTCTCGAGATCGGTCAACTTCCCTTTCTACAGTTCGCTTAGGGCAGCCGGATCTAAGATGGCCCCTTTCCCCACAGCCATAGCACCTAGGGCTGTATCCTTTGTTGCGGTCGCGAACTATAGCTGCTGCAACCTCCCTGACGCGATGGGAACGATGATCCTGCCGCACGGCTTCCACCTCCAGTGCATGGGCCAAGGCGTCCTTAAGCATTTCGTGGTGACCCAGCCTCACAGCAGCTCTGACTTCAAGGTCGCGGATGCCGTCGATGAATGTCTGCACCAGGTTCCCTTCAATGAGCGCAGGTACAAACCGGTATACTTTTCGCACCAGCTTCTCCACCTCTAGAGCCCACGGCTGCAAGTTTTCATTGATGCGCTGCACGCGATCTTTAAGCTGTGCACGAAAGACGTGTTCCAGGTGAGCGTCGCCATATCTCGCCTCCAATGCCTCAAGGCGCTGCTCATAAGTCACTTCCTCACCGAGATCTACCAGAACAGTTAAGGCTTGATCGCGCAGGCCTAGTGTGAGAGCAGTCATGGCCTGACTTTTATTCTAGCCGTTCGCCTTCGTAACGGCTTCAAACTGGATTTTGTAAGCTGACCAGGAAGAAGTGCCGTCGAACGGTGGCACTTTGAACCCACGTAGCGTAGATGTTGTAGCTACTACGGGAGCTGTAATTCCATCCCCCAGTTTGAGGTCGTCCAGCGTTTTCTTCACGTCAGCCATCACGTTGTCAACCCGATTGTTCACTTGGTTGATTCTGGTTTCAGCTTTCTCGATTCGGGTTTCAGCTTTCGCGATTTGGGTTTCAGCTTCTGACAGGCGGTCTTATTCTATAAAAAAGTCTCTCAAAAATGAGCGAAGGCCAGTGATCAAAAGTGGGACGTATATAGGCTGTAACATTTTTTAACTTCAAAAAAGTTGCTTGATATAGTGATTAACAACTACTTTTAAACGGATTTTATCGCGTTTATTTTTTTTCTTACTTTTTATTTTTATTTTTAATTCCCGACGTTTCGGGCGCTTTCCAGCACCCATGGTCACGGGGGACTGAGATGACTGACGTTCCCGATGTCATTGTTAAACCCGGAGTACCTTCAGCTTTTTTTAATTATTGTTTATGGTCCGATCTATGCAAAATGAACTGACTATGTCCTGAGGTCTTGCAGTGGTATGCTTGGGTTTAGTTTTAATTTTATTGATTATAGGATCCCAAGCAGGTGGTAGTACCCAGCCTCCTTCTCTATTGAAATTAGGATGTTTTTTAATTTCAATAGCCTCACGTATCATCCTTGGTAGGAATCGGTGTTCTTTCGCGAGGATTTGTGGTCTATCAAATCTGATGTAATGGTTGGGGCCGGCCCCTCTAGGATATGATCACAAACTGCAGACTTCTGCAGTTTGTGATCATATCCTAGACGGAAATAAAAAAATAAACGCGATAAAATCCGTAAAAGTAGTTTTAATCATGTGCAATGTTCGCGTAAATATAAGAAATCATTTTGCTTGTTATAATAGGTATGTACAGCTCGGACATGTCTAAGCCCACTTGTATTCGAGAGTAGTTTTGGGAGATCTTGGGAGTCTTATTGAAATGTAAAATAAATGAAAATATCGTTATTTTAGGAGATTTTAATGTGTTAATAGCCTTCACTAGTCGTTTTGGTGTCAGAAAACTAAATTTTAAACAAACTATACTTAATTTATTACGACGGTTTACCAAATACGGGGCACTGTGAGTGATTTACAACTGGCAGGCCAACTTCAGGAAGGTCAAAGGACAACATTCAGCATGTACGCCAAAGCATATGTCAGCTCTAAGATAGTCCCAGCAGTTGGATTGGCCCGAAACTCGGTTTAGAAGATTCAACGGATTTTGAATGTTTATGCGTACAAAATACAGCTAGTGCAGGAACTGAAGCCAGCAGATTATCGGATTCAATTGACGTATTCAGTACAGATTCATGAATAGGCAAGGTAAGAAGCTGATTTCATTCAAAATTTCATTATGGGTGAAGAAACATAACTGACCGCTACGCACACCTGACTTAACTGCTCCAGATTTATTTGAGTTGTAATGTAGGAAAGGCGTTAAATGAGAAGAGACGTGTTACTTCTGCTATGTTTTTAATTATACCACTTCATTCCAAACTAAACACTAATATAAATTGTTGTGGGGGCTACACTACACTTTGAGGGTGTTTAAAAGATAACAATCTTCGAACCATCCAGCAATCGAAGGCCAACATCCGTGGAGAAATTGGAGGAAAGTCTAAAAACATTACAACAGGTCACAGGGTACAGCCCAGGACCCATTCTAACATAAATAAATTTCATCAGTCGATCGAACCGTTTTTGAGTTTTAGTGAGTTAACGGATAGCAATTAATTCTAATATATAGAAATTTTCCTTTTGAGCCAAAATAGGCAAAAATTTTGGAGACTCTGTTATTGAAGAGCTTTGGCTCCAAATGAGATTCTATTCCAAAACTTAGTAGGTAGATGGCACGTTGATTAGGCAAAAGGGATGTCTAAATATTTTTATATTATAATAAAATATTAGTTGCTCCCATATTGAGGTGTGTGATGTGACGGATTGAGAGGAAAGAAAATTTAAACTGAAATTTAATCCGATTACTATATACTCCGCTAGTATTGATACAAACTGTTGGTTAATTAAAAATATTTTAATAACTATTGCCGTGCAATTAATTAATTACCGTCTTTAAAGTGATCAATTTTTATGACGTGACATATCACCTTATTATTTATCACTTTATAACATGACTTCGTAAGTAGAGTACATGTTATTTTATTTTGCTTGGCGTAAATAAAATAAAATATTTTTTTCTATCTCATAAATTTTAGAAGTATAACAACATGTAAGCGTGTTGTTGCGTTGTAATTATATCCATATCCACATTTTATCCCGTGGGTTTCATAGAGGGGAGACATGAAAACGTACCTAACCAGGAGATTGGCAGTAGCATGATCTGATCTGAATAAAATACTACGGTTTTCAACTCGCAGCAACTAGGTAACCTATGCAGGAGGCCTATGTTCATCCGTGGACAATTAGTTAAGGCTGTGTACAATTTATATTATACATAAACATAACATAAACACTCACGCCTGTCACCCAGAGGGGTAGGCAGAGACTACAGACTTCCATTTGGCACGATCCAGACACACCTCTCTCACCTCCTTCACATCCATATACCTACGCATACATGCTCTTCGGTTAAGGGTACTCCTAATTTGGCCGGTTTTCAATAAATCGCCAATTTGGTCGATAAATTTTCGCCTAGGACGTCCCTTTTCGACTCTGCCATTCACTTCTGCAACATAAATTTTCTTTGTCACTCTTTCCTCATTCATTCTTTCCACATGACCAAACCACCGAAGCATTCCTTTCTTAATCCTGGTCACAACATCATCTTGTAAACCACACACTTCTTATTATTTTTATATTCGTAATTACAACAAATGTTCGCTTAAATATAGTTTTTTGCAAACCAATAAGACGTCATTTGTTTTCGTTGTCTGTGTTCCAAAATATAAAATCCTTTTTGAACCGATGTACTTCGCAGCGAGCGATTATAACAAGAAGAACAAGAGATTATAAATAAATATAAAACTCCGATATTGATTATTATTATCGATATATCGAAAATTCAATATTTAAAAAAAATCAACAGTTTTAGTTAGAACTGATCAGTTGGAATGATCAGTTGAACTGGCCGTGTGTGGCGTCCATAAGAGGCTTGAATAAATCTATACATAAATAAGTCTGTAGAAAAGTCGTGCCTTTAATTTTAATATTTATTGGACAATAATGATTTCTTATATTTAAGTAAACACTACGCATTTAATATTACTTATTTTTAATTCTCGAAGTTTCGGTGCATGGTCCCATGGTCACGGGGAGACTAAGGTCCACGTCCAGATTTCAATGTTCACGCAGAGTACATTCAGCTTCTTAATTATTAATTTTGGTCTGACCTACGCAGAATGCACGCTTGGGTTTAGTTTTAGCAGTTGTATGATTGGGTTTAGTTTTAATTTTATTAATTACAGGATCGCAAGCAGGTGGTATTATCCAGCCTCCTTCTTTATCAAAATTAGGATGTTATTTTTTAAATTTCAATAGCCTCTCGTATCTTCCTTGGTAGGGCTCGATTTTCTTTCGAATTTAGGTATTTCTAATTTATCAAATCTGATGTAATAGTGGGAGTTATCTAGTATATGTTCACAAACTGCAGACTCCGGGAAGCGTTGGTGTTTCACGTCAGCTATAATATGGATTTTTACGCGGGTTTTTATTGATGTTTTTGTTTGCCTTATATATGTATGTATAGCATTATTTATATATTTGTAATATATAAATAATGCTATACTGTTATTGCAGTTTCTGAAAATATGAGTAAATAAGGCTGCCAGTTTTATTTAAAATACTCTAAAATTAAATGTGATTTATGGGTAACAACGATTTTGCCTACCGATCGACCCTTACAAATATGTGCGTGTGCAGTAATGAATTACTTTTTATTGAATTTATAAGATAAAAAGACAGAATGTTTAAATTTTGTTAATTAACTTTTCTACATTACTCATTCTGCACCTTCCCTGCAAATTTGTACGGTTATTGCAAAATAACACTGTATAAGAGAGACCACATTCACATTTAACCTTATACATTCCTGAATTTTGTAGGGGGATATTCCTACAAACTACTACTACGAATGGTAAGAACTGACTAATCTTCTTCGGCGGATTGAAGTATGTTCTAATAGAAGCTCGCTTTAAGACGTAGCACATCTTGTCTCCGACTCCTCTGACATATGGTAGTACAGCAGTCCCACGCACGACTGTGGCTGGTTTTACTCGCTCACTGTGACGTAGGCTTGATGTTGTGACATTAAATAATTTCTTACAGAATCCATATCAATTAAAGTTTCATTTATATAATAAAAAATTATCGCAGCTTTAAGATGGTCCAAAGGCCAAACCAGCTGTCGCTTATATTACTGTGGATAATGCTTTTGGCTAAATATGAATTTAATTCACAGATTGAATCGTATATGTAGGATAAATCGACAAACTTTGACATTTAAACATTATGGCTAGTAATAATCGGCTATCATGAAATGGTTGCGATTCATGAAATAGTCGGACACTTCATGATAATATGATTAATTCTATGATCCACATTTATATATCTTAGCAGTTTCGACTTTCATAGCTTTAATCAAATATTAGCGCCATCTGCTGCTAAGTACAATCAATACTAAATAATCTACTAGTTAAAATTAAATAGAATGCTACTGAATACTTATTTCTGCATCATCAAAAATTGTCACACTTAAAATATTCAACCATTAACTGAATGACTCACCGTAATTGCTTCATTTAGTAAAATAACTAACTAGGTACGGTGTATACAAAACTGTGATTAAGAGAAGAGCTCTTTAGATGAAATATTGAATTTAGTTGAAATATTGGCGTGGCATCTATGGATGACAAATTTCAAGGTATGCTATATATTTCTATGTATTACTAGGTAACTTGTCCATAATAATTAAGATAATTTTCGGTTTTCAGACATATTCAGATTCCTCTCTGTGGGCTTGTTGGAATTGTAATTCGTCATGTGTTCATCTGTGGCCCATAAACATCTACATCTACCCTCTATTATTCATATTCCATTCCTCAAACGATTATGAGCATCTACAGCAAACGCCTTGTTATTAAACAGTTTTAAAATAAAAAATCATTTAAAAATAATTCAATAAAAATACGTTACATAAAGCAGTTTTTATATTACATTACTATTTCAAACATTTTTGCTGAAGAAATTATTTTACCATTATTATTTCGTATTATTTTAACTGATGTGCGTAAACCGATGGTGGTTGAGGTTCTGGTAAGGGTTAGTGCATAGTACGGAAGATATTATTGTATTTTAATTGAAGTTTCCTTTGTTACATCTTGGATAAATTGTCCGATATTGTTTACTGTAGAGTTATCACCCGCTTCCACATTAGTAGCCGAAAGATTTGTATCCGAATCTTCGACGTCTCTTACTTTTCGTTGCACACTTGCTAATTCAACGAGTTGTATCACGCAAAGAAATAAGATTAAATAAGCAGTTTTATTCTGGAAAAGAAAATATGTTGTTATAATATAAACAGTAGATTTTGTTTTAATATAAATGCACGATATAATCATAAAAATAAATTCTGAGAAATGAAGGTCAGAAAGTAAAATAAGATATAATAATTAAGGATGTAACCCTACCGATCCGATAAAGATATTTCGGCCGAAATAATCGGCTAACCTATGTAATGGGATTGCTGTTTATTTATCAATCGATATTGACTTCAAACAATTTAAAGATAGTTTGTGTGAATTGACGACGCAAGACGCCGCTCCGTTGCAGGCAGTAAGTATGGCATGTTTGCTGTAGCTGGCGTTTTTGTCACGTGAAATTCCCAAATTCGATAATGCAAAGCTACTTGTCTTACGAACATAATAATCTCAGTTGTTTAAGAATTTTTATTCACAAACCATAGTCTGTGAGATTCAATGTGGAGAGTGAACTTGTTGACATTGTGTAATAGTGTACTGGTTCATTTAATGATAAATAATTATTTACTTAATCACTTTTCTCGCTTAATGATAATCTCTATATATAAAAATCAATTGCTGTCCGTTGACTCGCTAAATCTCGAAAACGGCTCGAACGATAATGATGAAGTTTTTGTGTGCATCTCTGGAAGGTTAAGATTCACAATTAGACCCGGTAGGTGACGCTGTTTTCAAGATCCAGAAATCACCCGTGCGAAGCCAGGGCGTATCGCTAGTTCTTAATAAAAAAATACAATGTAATAATACTATGTTACATTTGACGCTCTTATTTTATCCTTGCGTGGTTGGGCTTCTGATTGAAATAAAATATCAAATAGTTTTCATTATCGATAAAAAAAATTATTGCCAGTTTTATGCATAATGGAGTTACAGACAAATATCGGAAAAAAAAACTCTTTGACCGTTACGTAAAATGTGTATCGGTATCTCCAATTTTGTAATCCAAATATAATAATCTATATCAGTAGCGTATCCAGAAACAGAAACAGAAACTTTTTTTTATTCAATGTAGATTATAAGCAATACTTATTGAAAGTCAATTTTTTCATTTATATATTTTATATTCATTTATATCCGCATAATTATTTATCGTTACATCAAAAAAATACTAAATTAACAAACACAGTTGTGCTGACGGAGACCGCACTCGGGTCTTTTGCCATCTCGTACATAAAGGTCATAAGTTCTGTCAATTTTTTTTTATAAAATTAATGATGACACTTTTTGATAATTGTATATAAATTGTATGAATTTATTTTGAATACAATTTTATTTACATTATTCAAAATGCCCCCCCTATTTTGAATACATGCCCTTAATCCAAGCGGCCAATCATCAATCGCAGCACGCACCACACTCATATCTATATCGGGCTCTGCTTTAGCCAAAGATACTCAGAGAGATTTCAAATTCTGATGAAGTTTAGCGCAGACTTTCTCCTCCAAATATTGATATATCTTATAATCTAATGGGCTAAAATCTGGACTACAAGTGAGCCAGTCTTCATGTAAGATAAAGTCAATTCCATGGGTGGTCAACCAGTTTAGCGTGCTTCGTGCTCTATGAGCTGGTGCATAGTCCTGTTGGAATGTCCAATGTCTGTTTTTGAACATTTTTTGAGAAAGAAGTTCCACTATGTTTGTTAAGACGGTATTTTGGTACACCTCGGCACTGGTTTTTATAACTTTTTCACAGAAAAACACCTCAGTTAAGCCTGAATATGAGACTCCAAGCCAAACCATGAGTGACGAAGGATAATGTGCTCGTGGAACCTTCGGAATATGCGTGCTGGTTTTTTCACTACTGTGGGCATACACTTTCAAAAAATTTTCATCCGTAAACAAAATTTCGCGGTATTTTTTCCCACGTACCGCCGTAACAAAGCGCGGGATCTATCCAGTCTAATTTTTTTCAAACGCTCGTTCAAAAAATGTCCGGTCCGGTCTCGCAGTCCTAGGTCTTCATTGATCACTCTTTTGATCGTAGTTCTGCTTAGGCCCATCTGAAGAACCAAGATTTTTTGTTTACGAAGAAGATTTCGTTAGATTCGCGCCTTCTCAGCTTTGATGATCGCGGGTGTCCTAACTGTACGAGGTCGGTCCTCTTACGATCATCAAAGCTTGAGTCTTCAGCGAATCGTTTGGAAGTGCGATAAACAAATCGTAAGGTTATTCAATCAAATGTTTGTATAATATTGATAATCTCTTTTGGCGCGTAACCAAAGCGGCGCAACGCGATTACCGCTACCTACTCTATCTTCTTTCTTTGACCACTCCATTTTTGAAAATGCACGAAAATTAGTGTCTTTTTTATTTTCGGCAAGCGTAAAAGTTATATTTTTAAATTGGTGAAGTTCATCTGGCCAGTATTTAAAATTTTAAATAATAAGGTTTTGACAGAACTTATTTTTTACTTCTTTATTAACTTAATCACAATATGAATATGTCGATCCGTTCATTCATCACAAAAAAAAAATAGCTTAGAGTCTCTCATTTGTATTTCAATGTTCACCATGTACCCTTTATGTGGATAAGATTGCAGATAGGATAATGGCGAAATGTGGTGTTTGTGTTTCCGAACAAATGTCTTCATCTGAGAATCCAATCCAGAATGTAGTACGTGATTTTTTTAATGCTACATGGGTGTCAATACAATATATTCATATTATAATAAATGATTAAAGCAAATACTTACTTTGAATGTTGCCATATTGATGCTTGTAATGTATTGGTTGGCACCAAATGGTGGAAAAAAGCTAAAACTGAAATTTCTTCCGATTGCTATTACTTTATATACCCCGCTGATATTGATACACGTTGTTTTTTAAATTTAAAAAAAATATCAGTATTATCGTGTTATTACTTAATTAACACCTTTAATGCAATCAAGTTTTTTTAATTGCAACATGTCATCCTTAACATTTATCCTTATAAAACATGACTTCATTAGTATTAAGCTTGCTTATGATATATTATAAAAACTACCTCGACGACAGAGTTTCGCTCAGCATTAATAAAATAATATTTTTTTTGACCGAGATATCCTTGGGAAGTAGCAACATCATTATTTAAATAGAAAATTTCATCTGAATATTTAGAGCGCTTTCCAATAAACTAATTAATTTATTTATATATTAATTAATACGTGAAGGAGAAAAATTCTACCCTCTCTGAAGCTTGTACTTTATTACCCATAGAAATCTACACTTATCTTCGACGAAATGCATGCAAATAGCATTCATTGCTCGTAAGTTTTGCCTGTGCTCATTTTAGTGGTGAGATGGCTAGAACTTATGCGTAGCACGTCATAAACAACTAATTTGCAATAGATAAATCTCGTACCCGGTGCGTTTTATTTTCAAAATCGGAGATGAACGGCTCATAAACTTAGAATGGTAAATGTTTTGTATAATATTAAATGTTTAAGTAGTTGTTTGCATCATAAATCATAGATTTAAAAATAATTAATACGTAAAAATGTCCAAAACTCCCACTTTAGAAAGTTTGGTAGAAATACTACTACACGTTATTATTTAAGATTTCCCTGTTTGCGAGCAATTCTCGTCTAGATGCTGACTCCAAACAACCGCCAATTCTATCCCGCTATAATTCTTCGATACCGAAGGTCACTATCCACACGAAAGATGTACGTATAGCTTTGCAAAACCTAGACGTGGACAAGTCCAATGGATGTAATGGTATTCCTGCAAGGGTAATAAAGCTTTGTGCGCCTGAGTTGTCTCCTGTTTTGACGCGCCTGTACTGTCTCTCTCTTAAAACTCGACGGTGCTAAAATCTTGGAATCTTGCCAATGTGCAACTAGTCGTGCCGATCCTTGTAATTATCTATTTAAGAGGACTTCTTCATTCACATGAAATCTAATGATTTACGAATGCCAACAACCGCATCACACACACACACACACACACACGCACGCACGCACGCACGCTTGCACGCACGCACGCACTCACGCATGCACGCACGCACGCACGCACGCACGCACGCACGCACGCACGCACGCTGTAATGTCGGGAGGTTCGGGGGGATAAATAATGCGTCTACTGGTCTTCAATGTAGGTTTATTACTAACTCCCTCTTATTCTATCCTACATAATATGTATATATAAGCACACACTACACGCCCATCGGCAAAAAGAAAAAAATCATTCACAAAAATACTTTTTTAAATGTAACATGACTTGGTGTATAAAAAATTGTACATTATTTTAAAATATTAAAATTCTTATACCTACTATATCATATTTATAACATAATAAAATTAAAATAAAATATCGTAAACACCCTAAATTAAAAAAAATAACTTTCTATCTCTGTATTTAAATTTATTAAACAATCATCAAAGTCCTTACGTAATTGTATTGATTCTTTAAGATTTTGTTGTGAAAACTAATAGTTTATACTAATATAACCTAATAATTTTAGTTCGCCTATCATTACTGCATAACTTTTAAAATTTTCGTATAGGTATAACTATTAATTCACTAGACTGAAAATACAGTTTTTAAAACAAAATAGTTATCAAAAATGTTATAAGGCGTATATAAGGCTGTTTATAATATTATTTTCTTAAACTTAAACTATATTTTTAAATTTAAACCTTAATAAACCTTAAAGGTAAAAAGCCTAAGCTTCAGCATACTTATTTAAATCACACTGTAGTGTGAGTATATAAACATTATTAAAACTATTCTTACATTAGGGCCCTACTAAATCTAAATAAACTCTATGAAAAGCGGAATATCCTATAAATCGGTTATAACCATAGGCACATATATTTTTATTAATTGTTTTTGTCGCAACACTTGACACATCGATTTGCATAATTAGTAGGATGTTACTAATTATGTATGTAGTATCTAACTCTGGTCAAAAGAATATTTTCTTTGCATTACATATAGACAGTTAGTTGGCAAAAAATGATCGTCGTTTGATATTACACGTTTTGTCTCACGGCGGTCCTAGTGCAATATAATCATAATCATTACAGGGATCAAATACAACTTACAATCTCAGCCGCGTAAGCGGTTGGTGACACCTTTGTTTTAATTTCTAAGTATGTTCATGGGAACGTTTTTTTCGATTACGTTGTATAATGGTACCTAGTTTTAATCATGCATTAAAATTAAATTATAAATAAAATTAATTTAACTTTCCCAATAGTTTGTACCTCTAAATATAGATTGTTACAATTAATTTTAAATTCATTTTGTAAAAGTATTATATTTTTACATAGGTACATTAACAAAAAATCATTAATTAAGTTATTTATAATTTCGAAAAGTCATTTTTTCAGGACATGAAATTTATATAAAAAAAACACAAACAGATAACATAATTTTAGGTTTCGTTGTTAAGCTATTGCATAGCTTCTATCGCGGACCTTGAGCGCGGGGACCGAATCCAGAAATTCCGTAACGAAAAAAACCTCACGCTCCCCACTCCGACGGGCACGGAGGTGTGGCGTTGAAAGCCGTGCATCGTCTAACGTCGTTTCAGTTCGGCAGACTTCGGCACGGTGTTTGTGTGCGTGCGACTAGTCTTATGCGTGTACACTAGCTGCTAACTGAATGATAAAAATTCCTGAATAACCTACATGTATTGTAAGACATTAAAAATATTTTAAACAATATTAACTTCTCATTTATACAATAAGAGAAAAAAAATTGTTTTCTTATCGGTCACCACGCTCAAAAAGTGTAACTTGATTTAATATCAAAGACTTAACTGCATAAATAAAATAAATAATTAATTATAATTGCATAAGTTGATAAAAAATGCTATGCAATAGCTTTACCGCGGCAGTCCCCGAGTGCCACACGTCTTTTCTTTTATAAAGAAAAAACGTAAAAGAATACTATTACATTAATAAATTTATAATAATAGTGTATTGATAGACTCTGGACTTTACTTTATGAGCAAAATATAAACCAAATATAGTTTAAAATGTACAAATTTTACATAAAAAACATATGACAAAAAATTCAACCAGATTTGTAGTAAATATGAATCAATGTGACTAAAATATGAAAAAAATATCTCGTAAATTCATTTACAAATGTGTTTAAACAATTACGCGCACAATACATGCACACACAACACATGTTTATTTCATGTGTAACTTGTTAGTCGCATTTTGGGTAGCATTAATAGTCCTAATACAGAAATGCAAAATAACTACACACTTTTTGATTTGCTGGGGGATCCCCCTGCCCCTTATTATCCCTTATTATCCTGTATTTTTGCCGATTAATAGGCCTTTTTTCCATAATTCTTGTACGTACTTTCTTTTTTTTTTCTTCTTAATATTTTGACCTTAAGCTTGCTCTCTTTCTCTCTATTCATTTATATGTTTATTTATTTATTAGATACCGGGAATCGGAGTATTAATTCATTTCATTTATATTTTATTCGTGATATTTATCACGCGGGTACTTTATAAATATGCCCCCCCCTTTATTTGGGTATTGTATTACATTTTCGTAACATTAATTTCATTTTATTGGTACATAAACTTTTTTTTCTATATCAAGGTAAAATGTACCTTGGTTTGTGCGTACAACCTTGAGGTCTACGTTTAAGTCATTAAAAAGGACTCCAACAATTGTCACACAGGAAAACTAAGTCCACACCATGATCCAATGAAGGATATAACCTCTATGTACCATTATTAAGGGTAACAAATTTAAGACTTCTCTGGTCTGTAACAGTACTAATATGAGTAAACTCGTGTACATCACTTGTACTAAAGGTATTGTTCCCTAGTACCCGTTACGCCCGATTTTATCATCCAATCACGGAAACATACCCTGCTCGAGGACTCTATGTTATACCAGTGATGGACGTTACCGTATCTCTCCATTACTTCTTTATTAAGTTTGTTTATTAAGGTCAATTATTTTCCTTTATATCTATTCTTTTCATGCATAATTCGCGCTCCTAACACATTCAATACTACCAGTTTAAGCATCATCAAATATTAGGGTGATCAGTCCAATATTGACGAAACTTAACTACTCAATCATTCGTATTCCTATTTTTAAACATTTCTTTCTTTCATTCCTCACACCTTTTAAATACATCCTTGCTAATTTTTGTACAAAATGGGATAATATTTTTTCATTCAAAGTTTAACTCAGTTAAGAAACATTACCATTGAAATTCTCTTAGGCTGGCGATATACATACTTTATAATAAAATAGCATTTTCCTAGTCAGTTTCCCTTTAATTTTTATTATGAAGTGTACCCTGTTAAGAATAGGTTGGTGTTATGTACCTTTAAATGTTATTGTTATTCATTTTACTAAGAGAAGTTATACGATAACGACGTTCTTAGTAATAAATGATTTTTTTTAATACGAAACAAATTAATGGTAATTGGTTGTAACATTTGCAATTTATAATATATGATAATTGACAAATTAATTATTATAACAAGTATAATATGACATTGAGCTATAATAATATTCTTACGTTGGTATTTCCTCTGACGCTGTTACATAATTAATTACACAGTTACCATATCAATTAAAAAAATATTGAATAATTTATATGTTGTTAAAATTTCGATAAATATTGTTATAGTTACTTGTTCATTAATATTTACACATTACTATGGTAGAATATGCAGAACTAATTATACTTAAACACCATTGTTTAACCATATTGTTGCAAAAAACAAATATTATTATTATCATTATTAAGTAGTTATTTACCGATTAATTGTTGTGGTATAATACATAATTTTGAAATTTTCTATTAATAGTACTAATATTTTTCCTACTTTTCAATGTATGATTTAAAAAATTCTTTCCCCATTCTTTGTATAACATTATATAAGTAATAATGTAATTTGGCAATAGACGTCGACACTATTATATAATTAAACTTACATTCGGTGCTTTCGAGATGTCTTGTACCTGCTACAGAACTTGGCTAGTCGTTCGTTGTACCCCTGACTTCTTTCTGCAGCTCTGGCACTCGAAGATGTTGTTAGCTCCCCGATGTGGTTGGGCCTGGAATTCCTAGTAAGCTTCTTTTTTATTAACTTCTTTACTCTTCTCTTGAAGGAATTTTGATCAAGAAGTTTTCTGTTCTTGGAATCTTCTTTCTTGGAACTTGTCAATCTTGATTTTGCTGTTAAAACAATGTTACTGGAGTTTCTTGTATAATTTGTTTTTCAGGTCTTTTCTTCATTTTTTTCTATAAAATTTTTTCTTTAAGTGTATAATTGACTTCGATTATTTTTTAAATTGTAGTCTATTCTTATATTAGTATTTAAAATATTATTTGTCACGTCCGGTATTATGTTCATTTTATTGTTGTATTATTTTCATATATTTATTTTGATTGATTTATTTTGTTCAATAAATTACTTTATTTTTTCTATGCAAGGCCCGGCGGTGCGCTTGCATTGTAGCAGCGCAGCGCTTGGCAGGGTCGCCATGTAATGTCGGGAGGTTCGGGGGATAAATAATGCGTTTACTGATTTTGAATATAGGTTTATTACTAACTCCCTCTTATTTTATCCTACATAATATATATAAGCACACACTACAACGAACGCACGCACGCACGCACGCACGCACACAGGATTGTAACATATTAATTTACGTGTTTTTGTTAACTTCTAAATTTGTGAGAGAAAAGAATACACTTTATTTAAATATTGTGTTTGTATTTAAATTGTTTTAGAATAAATAACATTAAAATGGCGTGTTATAAAATTAAAATAAACCTGTACCTATTTTTACATTCGATTAAATTAGAACTATTCAATAATCTCTACCATTTTTTAAATGATTTTTAGTTTTTCACTATGCTATTTTATGTACTAAATTATGGTGTGTTCAGGTTTTTTTTATAATTTATTTTATTATTTCAATACATTTTGCACCGATTGCACCAAACATGAGGACGGTGACTCTAATATGAAAGGACGTTTAGTCACTTCAGATAATTATATATAAAAACCGATTTTTGTTTCCGATCGATACGGTAACTCGCTGAACGCTTTAACCGGTTTGAAGCAATTGCTTGGAATATTTGGTGTTTAAATTAACTTGTTACTACATTGAACACAGTAATAATTTATATAAATATAATTTTGAAATTGTAACTCTAAATGGCGGTGGTGGATGTCATGTAGAATTTTCACAACTCACAAAAACGTAAAGTTATTCAGAATTCAAAGATAAATGCGTTATTCTTGTGGTAGAAGCTCTAATATGTCAAACTGAATATGAAAATTGATTAAGGATTGGAAACTTGGAAATAAACCGAAAAAGAGCCTCTGGACCTTTACTTAAGCCAGTTTGTGGGTTGACTCATTTCTCTATAACACTGTCTGTTTAATTATTTTAAGCAAAATATTTAAACTATTATACCTATATACATTTCTGAAGATTATGATGGAATGCCATATTTCCAGTAAAAAGGTTCTTCGGTTCTCGCTTTACAAAAAACAGCAGCATTAAGCTGCTATCTTACGCTAGTATTGTTGAGCGTGATCCTCCTCGGTCGAGCTGATTCATTAGTGCTATACTATATTGAAGCTGCAGCATTACTCCACGTAGAGATTCTCATCATACGTCGCGAGGATTATTACAAAATTAAAGTAAACGACACAGTCCAACGGATATGTGAAGTAATATGGCCAATAAATATCTTTAAATCTCGAAGAACCAACACAAAATAATATATCAGAAAGAAAAAGTTCTTGAGTAGCAGTCGTGTACCGGCAAGCACAGTGCAGAATAATCAGACTAGATTAACGTATGTTAAGGTACGCAGAAATCAATTAATACAGGTGGCTCAAGACCGCACATTTTTGGAAGCCCACGTTCATCAGTTGTTAGTGACGGGGTGTAATGACAGTGGTTAGTAGTTTTATAGTGTTTATTAAAATTTCATGTAGACTATTACAAAAATAATCAATGATCCAAAAAATATTTCAGTGTGTTAAACGGTATAGTCTTCCATGTAGTTTTATCGATTCTTTTCCACTTTCTCCTTATTTAGTTTTGCTAGAAAATTTGCTAGTGACTTCTTTTATTTTGGTCTCCATTTTCTTAATAAATCCAAGAAAGTCGAAAGAGCCAGCAGCTTTGGTGTCATCATCATTAGGCTTATCCTCTCTTGTAGCATCTTGATCAACACTTGGGAATTTGCTAGTTGTTTCTCTTATTTTAGTCTTTATTTTCTCAATAAATTCAATTAAGTCCCCAGATTGAGTAGCTTTAGTGTTAACGTTATTAGGCTTATTTTCTTCTCCAGCATCTTGGTCAACAGATGCAGCATATGAGGACTCAATTAAATATATAAGTAAAATAACGATTGCAATTTTTGCCTGTAAATAGAAAAACATATTTTATTAACAGTTTTATAGAGATGCCATCGTAAACACATTTACAACCATAGCTGAACTTGTATAATATCTCTACCATTTAGAGGACATTTATCGTATTTACCACGTTTTTTATACAAACAGACACACAATTTACTCGATAGTACGTGAATGATGTAGCTCATAACTCCATAGACAGACACTTATATCTATCTTCGGTTAAGAATTAAAATATAGATCGGTTGTCTCCCCCAAAAAGTACGATGGAATGCGTGATTAGCAGCTAAACGTTATTCAGTTCTCGCCATACAAAATACGGCAACATTATGCTGCTATTTAGGTGGTTATTTTGTGAGAATATAATGCCTATTCGTTCGAATAGATACATAAGTTCTGCAGTCGTAGCGGTTGCACCGTGGTTGTACGGTACTGCACAACTTGCAGTCGTGTTAAAAGTTTGTGAGTGAAATGATGTGATATAACCAACAATCAGTTTAGTTTAAGATAAACTATCATCTCATCTCATGGCTCATGGATGTAAAGCCGTTCCATTTATGCTAGACTTAGAAATGTTTCAAAACCCAGACCGGTGACGGGGAGCATTAAAATGTATGTTAAGGTGCTAATTGGAAGAGTTATGAAAGAAACTGATGGAAAAATTTGGGAAGTGCAAGTTGGATTAAGAAAGGGAGTGGGATGTACCGATCAAGTCCATGCGCATGATCACGGAAAAGTTTCAGGCCAAAAACCAGAAAGTTTTTGTGCGTTCAGTTACTTGAAAAAGGTTTATGTAGAAAGGGATGTGTTATGGAAAACACTGAACTCATTTGGGTTGAACGCTGGGTTAATACAGACTTTAAAGACTTTTTGCAGGGACTTTAGTACTTTTGTCAAAATCAACGGGGCCTACTCGGACAGGTTTGGCATCCATAAAGGTGTGTAGACAGGACAGGACTGTGTAGGACTTTTTTTAGGAACATCAAAACAGAAGATGTTATTACCTGTTCTCTGCCGAGTGAGATCATGAGTTTATCTGATATCTCAATACAGACTAAAGACAGAGTTTCATCATTATATTTCAAAAGTCCATGACTGCAGAAAATTATCTTTTTTTGATAGCTAACTATAAATATAACACCATCTTGCAAAATAGTGAGTGTGGTTGGGCTATATTTCTAAATAATTACCCTTATTAGAACATTTTTATCTGAAGTATGTATTTTGGTGATTAACTAGCAAATTTACTTGTTGACAAAACGAATAATTATAAAGTGATACTTAATATATGTAATAAAACAGAAGAGTTTTTGTTTCTTTAAACACGCTAATCTCTGAAACTACCAGCACGATTTAAAAGAATATTTTTTAGGTAATCATAAGGAATATTATAAGCTATCTGACATTAGGCTTAAATATTAATTTTTGTTAAGCAAGTCAGAAGAAAATGCGTTGCCGAACTGCTATATCCACCTGCGCTGGCGTAATGGCTAGCGATACGTAAATACAATGTTCTGCAAAAATATAGATCTTTAATCCAACTTTTAAAAAATTTGCGATAATATATACCTGTTTCTTATACATAAACCATAATAAGATACATTGTGACAAAAACTTATTGAAAATTAATAACTGATTTAGGAGCGTTATTATTAGGCATGGCATATTAATGCTTACAAACGATAGTTACATCATCATCAAGATAATTTATGAAGATAAACTTTGCTCTTTATTTGGATAGTTTAAGAAATAGGGAAAAATGAAAATAGTTCAAGTAATAATTTTATAGGTGGCGAGGTGATCGAACGCTGGTTGCTCGCAGACTGTGTAATGTATAAATATATTTGGTCGTTAATTATTTTTTCCTTTTGCGTCGCTTATTACCGCACACTGGAAAACATGAAATATCGGTATATTTACGAGTACAAGTTCCACTGTGACACCAGTGCTGCAGAAACAGCTCAAAGGATTAATGACGTGTACAGCGCTGGTATCGCAAAAGAAAGCACTGCACCTTTTTGGTTTTAAAGTTTTCGTTTTGTAAATTCCGACCTTCAGAACAAACTCCGTGGAAAGCCGGAGACCAAAGTGGAAAATGAAGAATTAAAGGCTATTGTGGAACCGGATCCATCACAAAACACTTCAGGGATAGCTGCAGGCTTCGGAGTAAGTTATAAAACTACTTAATACACCTGAAGTAAATTGGAAAAATTAAAATAACTTGGACGATGGGTACCATAATGAAATGAGTGAATCGAACTTGCAACACGCGTCAACTGCTGTGTTACTTTGCTCAACCGACACAAAATTGAAGGGATTTTAAATCATTACTTTTGATGAAGACTGTACGATAATCGGAGGCTCACGTCGCAATGGCTGAACCCTGTAGACCCAGCCAAATCCTGCCCCAAACGAAAATCGACTCAGGAAAAGTTACTTGTGCGTGTTTTGTGGACTAGCGCCGTTGTCGTTCACTACAGCTTTCTAAAATCTCTCCAAATTATAACGGCAGATATCTATTGTCAGCAACTGCAAATCATGAAGGAAGAACCACCTGCTAAACAACCGAGATTGGTCAAACGCTCTAGGCCATTGCTGCTTCACGATAACACAAGACCACACACTGCATAACAAACAACCACTAAGTCAGATGAGCTACAATTGGAATGTCTGCGACATCCACCGTACTCCACGGACCTTGCTCTAACAGTTTACAATTTTTTCCGGAATTTGGACTACTTTATGCAAGGAAAAAAATTCAACTCCGATGCGGCAGTCCAAACCGCCTTCAAAGAGTTTATTGATTCTCGCCACCATGGTAATTTAGGAAAGGGATCAATGAACTACCTATGAGATGGCAAAAGTGCATAGATAACAACGGTGCATACTTTGATGAATTAAATATATTTTACAAAAAAAAAATCACTTTATATTCCTGACGTACAAAACGCCAATTTCATATGTAAGGACCTACTATGTAAGTATGTAGGTATAGGTAGCGCTTAGCCCCCAAGCTTATTGATAAGCTTTTGAATAACTTACCACTGCTGCCATATTCTTTTTCAGTAGCGATCTTGAAATTTGAAAACTTGTCAAGTTTGTTCTGCCATATAACACATTGTACGAGCTATTTATACACCAGCGAACGCTACATAAAATTTTAATGGCGCATTAAATCGCTAAAGGTATCGGTGATTATTTTCGTGGATGACTTTTAATGGATGGAATTAAACTACTAAGTAGCAAATATTTTACTTTGCCTAACCAAATTACTGTTAATATTTAATTATGAAAACTCTCCTCAACAATCTCGGTTAAAATATTTCAGCTGCCAGGCTCTGTTGTGTGTGCAGTTTCACGTTTTCAGGAACACCAAAAAAGAATATTTGTTATTACCAGTGCTCTGTGGGGTGAGATCATGAGATTTATCAAGCAATCTGAATATAGACTGAAGACAGAGATGCATTATATTTCAAAGAGCCCACGAATACAAAAAAATATCTTTTTATGATACCTAGGAATAAACATAAAATCATCCTGCAAAAAAATTGAGTGCGCTTGGGCGATATAGACACTTGTATGCTGAATAGGTAACTTGTTAATTCTACAATACACCACGTCTAAGCAACAACTTCAGAAGCTAATCTATGAAAAGCATTTTTATATTTTTAGTATTTGAAGTCGGCTTTTACATTTTATTTAAAGTTTAATTTTCTTTCATCTAGTTTCACGTCACAGAATTCTATAAAAACTATTTGTAAGCCCCCACCTCCTCTTTTGCATGTGAATAGTTTGGTACGTTAGCCTGTATGACCTGTATGCCTGTGTCACCGTCGCCAACAACATGTCACCGAAATCGAGTATAATCTCAGACCTCATATAAATCTCATGATGCAACTCGGCTGCTAGCGTTCTGGTAACAACACATCTCGTTTGATGTTCTTAAAAACTTAAAGGTACACAGGCGAGAAAAAATATTTTTAGTTAATTGATGTGACGTAATGTAGCTAGACGAAGTGAAAATTTTACTATAGGGTAAATGTCGTAAAAGCTACCCATTAAAGTAATCTAAGGTATCTTTAGCGGTTTACTGCGCCATCAAAATTTTATGTAGTTTTCACTGGTATTTAAATAGCTCCCACATCTTTATATCAGAAGTAACTCAACGGGTTTTTAACACACAACGAGGAATTTACTACTGAAAAAAAATTGCAGCAGTGGAAAGTTATATAAAAAAAATTAATTCAGAGGCTAAGCACACCCCATAACTTTACAGATTGCTACTAGTTATTTGCAATTTTAAATGCTGAATTTCCATGAGCTCTGCGCTGAAGGAAAACATTGTCTGGAAACCTCCATATCTGAGGAGCAGAATTACTTGTATCTAGTAACGGTGTTGTACATATTAAATGGCTTGGAAAATTTGTACTTGGTACGTGTTTCAGTCGTACGGATTTCACTAGTCCAAAAATAAAATAATATCCAAAAATAAAAAACAGAAGTCACGAGATGCACGCTCCACATGCAAGTATCGACAATCATACGCACAGGCGACTGGCTCGGTTCGTGTCCTTGCATACGACGTTCAATTTTATGGATTTCCGTATATACTAGATACCACATCGACTGCATGAGTGCGTACAGCTCCGATGCAGCGCGGATAGGACTTGTCCGTCAAGTGAGAAAGTAAAATAGGACAGTTTCAAGCGCTGGCTTACAAGTTTTTAAAAGTTTTTTAGTAATTTGTGCATTCCAAGTAGCTTTGCGGTACAATCGTTCGGTGACTGCAGCTTTATGTACATCACGTATCGCACACATAGAATACATACAATAGAATGGCTGTCAACCTTATTTTGTACCGAAGTTCTACGTCGCCGGGAGCACACATACAAGCAATTACGTCGTATTATCAGTTAATCACTATTACAATCCCAATTCGCTGTGTTGACAGACGGATTTTAATACATATTTATTTGTAAATAGAGTGCAATTTGGCATTTGCTAAATAATTTGCATGCGAAAGTTGGAAACGGTTGTAACGTCAAAACGCATCTCGTGTTGACATTTATATGTGTGAATTGACCTGTTAGTGGCATTTTAGTGGCTACACGGGCTCCTGCCGTACCCCTGTTCTATTATGTATGTATTATAGTATTCTATGATCGCACATGTAGCGCACTAGATGTCATTTGGCGTAGCGCAGACTATACAAAACGTATGCTCCATTCTTATAGAAATTACATTCATACGTAGCTCCATTACTTAAGTCTTCTCTCTCTATGACATAATACTCTATGTCGTATGTCTTCCCCAATGCATTCTTCATTAAACCATAGTTGCCACGCTTAATAGGCGGGCTGTTAATCGCAGTTTTTTTATAATTTTGAGTTGTCATCAGGAAGATGTTGCTGCTTATCTCCTATTTCAGTTTCCGTCGCTTCTTACGCCACCCACGGAACAATATGGGGTAGAGGATATTCTTAAACCGCCAATAAACGGGTCAATGGATGGGTCAATTACTTATACATACTCGCACATCACTCTGTAATTAATGAATGTTTCTCTGAAAAATTCAGACAAGCAAACAAGTTATCCGTTGTTCAATGTGTTATTTAGTGGTGCTATTTACCCTGCTCATTTCCTGTCAAAATGTTATTGGCTCAGTGATAATCCCTTTATCTCTCTTCTCTAAATAGTATAAAACAGTTGTTATTTCTTTCTTTTTGGGCGCTTATTTCTTTTACACTACTTAACAGATTTTTATGCGGTGTATACCATCCTTTTGAAAATTTCTTTCAAAATGTACATTTTTATATTAAAAGATAAGCTGGACTAGCAGACGTTGTTCTACAGTTTTCGGAAAGTGACGCCATGAGTTTCACCCCGAATTCACTTAAGACTTTTAACAATATAAACATAAAATCATTATTAACTCGAACACAGCGCCACCTATTACAGGGTTCAGATGTTTTAATTTTCTTATGTGGTTCTACACTAAAATATATTGTGAATACCCTTTTGGATCCATATTTATAGAATCTGTTAATTTTATTAAACTAACAGACAGACTATTGTTAAATTTTTATTTGTTTATCACGCTGTGAACCATCGTCTTTAAATAACAAATGGTATAATTTATATTATAGTAAAATAAATATGACTACAGTTGGTTACCAGGGTTGAATAAAGTTACCATTTCTGTCTTTCGAAATTTAATCAAAAATAATGTTATTTGTGAAGCTATTTTGGCCAATGTTATAATCGTTGTCCAATTAGTCCAAAACATGCTTATGGTAATTACGTTATGCAATCAATGTAGGTCAAACTGTCCCACTCCCATACAACATGTAGTTTAAAAGTTAGTTAATCTTAGAAGATAGTTTTCGGGGGGGCTTTGGCATTCTTGCAGTTTCCAAATAAGTTCCCCATCTGTTAGCTAAGCTTTTGATTCTCAGTTAGTATATTCAGCGGCACCTCGATTTACTAACTACTTTAAAATACCTAACCAATATGGAAAAAAGTTAAAAAGAAGAATATAATGAAACAAGCGCGGCACTTCCGCCCATAAGAAAAATTACCCAATATGAAAAAAGTTATATGATAAACATCTGCGGCACTTCATCTTACTTAAAGTCTACCTCATGAACATTAGAGGGTTGCACACTAACCTCGATCCCATTCACCAAGAAACCAAGAAGCTGTACTTATTTTTCGTAACTGAGACGCATTGAACAAATCCTGTGTGATGTACCTCAACTTCCCAGGTACACGCTTTAAACTAAATTCAAACAGCGCGCTGGGTTTTGTGTGTACGTACGCGGTGACATTTGCTGTAGAGCTTTAAGTTTCTTTGAGGTTTCTGAGTTTTTATCAAAACCGGTGTAGAGAGAAACAATCCTCTATGCTTGTGTCTATGACCAAGAGACAACCTCAAGAGACAACAAGGCTCTTTCTACGGAACTAGTTTTTATCTGGGACTTTAACACCCAACACAAGGAGTGGTGTTTCTCGTTTAAGAAAACCGACCATGCTGGGAGGAGGCGTGCAAACTAAAAAGCACTTAGTGTTTTGGTTTGCACGCTTCCAATATTCTTAACAATGTGAAGCGATACTTGACGACAGGACAGCTTCCAACTTTATACAAAGCTAATGTCAGGTCGTGCATGGAGTATTGTAATCATCTTTGGGATGGCTCAGCAAAATATCTACTTGCCACACACGACTAAGTGGAAATTAGAGCCGAGAGGCTTATCGGCGACAAAATGCTGGCGGAAACTAGGCTTCGCAGCTTAGCTCACTACCGCCCTGTTGATTGATTGTCGGTCTTCTAGAGGTTGTACTTTGGAGAGTGTGCCAATGAGCTTCATATTAAGCTCTATCATAGGAGCTGGGTAGCAGGCATAATTTTTCATTTTGCAGCTAAGAAAAGACTTAAAATTTACATTGTAGGGAGATTAAAAAATCACGGTCATCCCGTTTGCTAAGAAGCTTCGGCTATGTACTATTAGGAAATGAAGCCAATGAATGAAAAACTCGTATGTTTCTAACCAGCTTTGGTCAATCGCTCGTCCCTGATGCTCCTGCACGAGGAAGTGCGACCTCATACTTCAGAACAGATGGTCTCCAAGTTACAAGATCTGGGGTTGGAACCTCTCCGCCATCCGCCATACTCACCAGACCTAGCGCCTACAGACTTCTATTTTTTTCAAAACTTGGATAACTTTTGAGCAAGAACAAAATTCAATACCCGGGAGGCGGTACAAAATGCCTTTGAAGAATTTGTTGCCTCCCATCCAGCTGATTTCTTCTAGAAGGGCATCAATAAAATTCCACTGCGTAGACAAAGATGCATCGATTGCGTGTGTGGTTAATAAAAATAAGGAAAAATTCGTTTACTTATTTCATAAAAACGGCAATTTCATAGGTAAAGACCTAATAGATTGTGGCTGAAATGAATTATTTTACAGAGACATTGTATAAAAATTTATTCTTTAACACTTTTAATAATTACAATAAGTACCCATTAAGATCATTAAGTTCAATTTCATGAAAGC